AATTTAACAGAGAAAGAAATTTCTGCCATCAGTTTAACAGCCTGAGTAAAGAGTCTCTATGAATTTCTGTAGGGTGTCTCCAGCATCCACTAAGCAGCATGCATTTAACACTCCAGTACAATTGTCTCTCCCTTTCTCTTTTTCTCTCTCCCTCTCACAGAAATGCACAGCAGTTTAAAGTTACATCAGAATGGCTCCATCAGAAAAATATTTTGAGCTTGCCAACTACATCTGAGATGCACATGCTTTATCTGTCCTGACCCATGTGTGGCTCATCTTGGCCTGCGAATTTTGAAACACACCCAAATTCCGCTATGCTTGTCTTATCCAAGTTACCAGTATGTTAAAGTTCTCTTAAAACTTGTTAGGCCAGCTTTTTCAAAGCTGGCTTTTTAACAGTCATTATCTATTACATAATGTTGCAGTTTTATTTTGAAAAAAAATTATTTGGATGAATTAGAAGTCAACTAGGTAAGTTTTATATTGACTGAAGGACGCAAATAATAAAAAAACCCCAAGGAGACGGATATTCAGTTAAAAATTGTAACTCCATAGCAGTGGTTCTCTACTGGGCTGCCCTGGCACCCTGGAGTGCTGCAAACCCCTCTCGTGGGTACTGTGACACAGGTGCTGCTGCCACAGAGAAAGCCAATTAAAACTGCCCCATGTGCACTCTTCCTGCATTAGGACTCTGTTTCACCTTTTCCAATTTGACCCCTCCTACAGTCCTTGCAGAAACAGAGGCACATGGGACAGTTTCATCCATGTGACATTGTGTCCAGGAGGAGCATAGACAGGTCTGAACTGGGAAGGGCTGCACAGCACAAGGCTGTTCCTGCCCACTTCAGGCTGATCAAAGTCCTAATGCAACAGGAGCACGGACACGTGCTACAGCCCTTCCCAGGCTGCCTTTGCAGCAGGCATTGAGGCAGCAACACCTACCAGGTCTGAGGCACTGAGATAAGCTGAAGATAAGCTGAAGCAGCAGTAGCAGTAGTTCTCAACTGGCGCTCCTGCCACATTCAGAGTGGTGGAGGGGTTATGTGGCTTTAAAAAGGTGGAGAACCACTGCCCTATTGGTGTGTCACAGCCCTTAGGTTTTCAGGTTTCAGTAGCTATATGTGCCCATACAATCAGTCTGACTCACTAGGAGGCAAAAACATGCACCTGCTCAAGTATCATGTAAATTATCTTGTTATCCTATGACAACACCTTGAGAATCACCTAGTTCACTGGGTATAACCTGGTAGTGTCATCAAATGAACACACAAGTGTAACTCCAAATATGTGAGAGAGCTAGTGTTGGTAATATCAGGAGACACACTGAGATTCATATGCCTTAATAGAAAGATGGGTATATATTGTGACTGAAGTCTAAGCATTTTAAATTCCTTTAGCCTCTTACAATGTTATTTTATCTATGGTACTTAGCCTACAAGCTCTGTGGTTTAAGAATCTTATTTTCATACCTGTCTGAAAGCACCCAGCATACAGTTGACATTTTCAAATTAATAAGTAACACTGGTCTTTTTGTGATCTTTTTATTTGGCGCAAATGAAAAATGAAAAAACATGTTCAGGAGCAGTGGGTCTCAACCTTTTTAGTCTCAAGACACCCCTTGAAATTGCCAGCTTTTACCTTTCACTTGTTTTTTGCTTATGGAAAAATAATAGGGCAGTTTTTCTGCTGCAAAGAACTAAGACAGACCACTAAACTTCAGAATGTTATTGACACTATGGATTCTTACTTGGATGTATCTGGGTTTACCTTGTGAATCATCTAAGTGCTTGTATACCTACCAGTGCTAATACTGTGCAATATCCTTTTAAGGATTCCCAACCCTGGTTGAGAATCACTGCTCTTTAGAATCATTTATTTTGCACAAGTATGATGACTACAAAGTCTTCTTGAAACCAATCAGAATAGTTTGAGACATGGCAAAGGAGACAATTGCCTTGAATAAACCTTTGATAACATTTCACAGCTGATCCCTATGACAACACTTGCCCTTGAACAAAAGCACTGAGTTGGTGGGACTCTTACACTGGTTTTGTTCTTTGCTCAATGATGCTGCAATCATGACTAGGGCCTCTAGTGCAGTAGTCACTAATCAGTCTATCATGGAGCCTCTGACAGGCCCTCCCCCACCCCGCCTCCAGACTGAGATTGACTGTCAGAGGCTCCACATCCTGCTGCCAGGCAGGCAGGGGGTGCAGCTCAGTCCAGTGGCAGAACAGACCTGGTGTCACACTGCTCCCGGGGCAGCTGCAGCCAGGCTTGGTGTGCAAAGCCCATCACGCAGTGGCAGCTACCTCTACCCCATGCACAGCTCGAAGGACTTCTGCTGGGGGGCGTGCAGTGCCCTCCCATGTCTGCACCAGCCTCCCAGGCTCCAGTCATCCCACCACCAAGCCTGGCCGGGGCCCCACTTACCCCAGCTCCTGCCCTTGCCTCTGCCCCACTCCCTCCCTCACTGCAGGAGCCTTGATCTGTACTCCCCACCCCTTCTCTCCCCCACAGGCTGACCTGCTGTGGGTGGAGGGGGGGTGGCACACAGTAGATCGTGCCTTTGACTTTAATTCAAAAAGTAATCTGGTACTTTAAAAGGTTGGAGACACTGCTCTAGTGATAGCAGGAGAAGAGAGGAAAAGAAAAGTAATAAAAAAGCATGAGCTTCAGTTACAAGCATCAATCTACAATATTTGTAGACTTAATAAAAAACAAGTTCTGCACTCACATAACTATGAATGATACCATCCAACTCTTGTTGATGTTAAGTCAACTGAGTTACTACACATTTAGGCAATTGTAACCCTGGTCAGAATCTGGCCAACCAGTTTTATGTAGCCTGAAAAAGCCTCTGTATGCAGACATTGAGCTGCATACAGCCTTTATTATTAAAACCTTTTTTCTATATACTTAACCTGTATACTTTTGCTATAAAAGAGTCAGTGACCTTTCACTTAATCACCTCCAAGACTTTGTGTGCAGAAACTTAGTTAAAAGATTCTTTATATGCTGGGTAGCTTTATCCAAGGAGTCATTCACCAAGCTACACTCTTCCTAATATGCAAAACAGCCTTTGCTTCAGGCATCCACTGCTGACTAAGAACCTTTTAGTTGCCTACAGAAAAGAGACCAAGAGGCCTGAGGAAATTTTCCTTCAGGCAAATCTATCCCATATGAATGTGTAAACCTAATGAAAATCAGCTGTGAGGCCCTTTTGTACAGATGCACCAAAATGTGTGTGATTTATAGCACATACAATAGTTTGCAGAATCCTCTGTCTTTGTGCTTTAAATTTTGTTTCAGCTTGAACAAAATTCATTTTCAGCTAATAGAGGTGAACAAAAGAATAAATTTCTCAGCTTGTGCATATTTTCACTGTAACTGCCTGTGTCAGGTTTCTTCTCATAGAACATTTCATTATACCAATTATTTTAATTTCTTTCTCTCTCCATCAAAGATGCAGCAGATCTATCATAAAACAAGGTTTCTGCTGTGAGCCTTTGTGATGGTGCCTGGATATATGCTAAGCAGGGATATCCTTATCACTTTTGCTCACCCTGGAACAATGATTGTTTATTTTCAGTCTTCACTTTCATATTCCTGCATGTTCTCTGCCTAGTTTTTTTAGCAGTTTTTCACAGATATTTTCATCAAAGACAATTTGTTTCAGTGCAACCTCGCTCCCTAGTATTTGCATCTTCCACATTTGTGTGATATAGACCTGAAGGAGTTCCAAAATATAGTGACTAATTTTTATTGTATTCTACTGGAGAAGAATATTTCAGAAGGGAAAAAAGAGCCATCTTTGTCTGCTTAAATTAATCTCTCTAAAACTCTTACTTAGTTATTTACTTCCAGCCATTCAGTGATTAACTCTGTAATCTTCACAAGAATCTGGGTAGAATTTTACTTTTCATTGCATTGCAATGCTAAAATGGAGAGCACAATTTTATCATTTCTACTTAAAAGAGTAAACTGTGACATCCAGCCTATGTATTTCAGTGCCTAAATGCAACCAACATTTTAAATGTGGAAAAATTATCCTCTTCTCTGACAAAGTAAAATTTTAATACAATTGGACATACTAGGTGTGTTACCACAAGCATGCACATGCGGTTTGCAGCACTGCAGACTCATCTGCGGTACTGCAAACCACACGTGCTGCACATGTAGGCATTCACTGTACTGCTAATTTGCAGCTCAGCAGGTTTTTTTTGACACCAGAAGATCCCAGTGTCAAAACAACCCCATGCCAGAGAAAAGTGGCATGATGCATGTGGTGGCAGTGTGCACCACCTGAAACCTGGCCATGCTCCGCACACCTGGATTTGCCACTGCTGGAGCCGTGGGAAGCCCCCAGGCCCCTAGGTAAGGTGGCTGGGGACAGCCCAGGTTCTGGCCCCAGCCTCCCCTACCCCACATGGGGCAACTTGCCAGAGCACACATGCAGGGGTATTCCCTGGGGACAACTGACAGGGGCACAAATATGTGATGCTGCTAGTTGTCCTCAGAGAACACACGTTCCCGCTTGTCGGGATGTGCCTATTCTGTGCTGACTTAAGCTCAGACAGTACTACCACACTGTGTTCAATGAAGCTGTACATGGAGTAAACTGGCGTACAGTCTGCCACATCAGTATATATTCAGAAGGCTATAGAAGAACTTCCTAAGCAAAAGTCATAGTGAATTCTGACAGAGTACTTCTTGCAACATGGTATATCAACAAGATGGGGTCCCAGGTCTCTGAAATCAGGGAGAGAAAAGATGGTCTTATAATTAAAGCATGAGGGTTAGACTCAAGAAGCCATCATTCTATTGGAAGTCAAAGGGTTAAGCTGTCACAAAACTGCATCCTATAGATACACTCCATGCTTTCCCTATCAGAAATCTATCCTGCACATGCACTATTTATGTGGAAGCAAGTAGGCAGGGTCTCTAATGAAGAACAGGCAAACTTACTTTGCAGTTTCTGTGGCTTTCCCAGGAACTTGATTCTGCATCCTGAGGAACAATCCCTTGCTGAAAAGAGTGGTCACTCAAGCATGTCTGGCACAGTGAAGACGCAAGCTCTGACTCCCCTTGAGGTATGTGCATCACAGTGGACCCCGGGTATTTGAGGCTGGTGTTCGGGTGCTTTTCTACGCTGACCATCGGGCTCTTAATCCATCGTCGTACCTGCAAACACACAAGACTTTATAAACTCCCTTTTGTTGTCTTTCACCTTGTCATTTTTTGTTTTCCATCTAATGGCTGCATAATTACAGACCCCTGACAGTAATCTAACTTCACATTGGGTACAAGCTTTCATCTTAAACTCGGTAAAAGGAAGCAAGGCGTATAAATAAGGAGAGAGTACTTCCAGCATTGGCAGCTCCACTCCACCTCATTTACACAAGACAGATGGATTTGCAGGTATTAATTTTTAGTTTACTTTTGGGCTTCTCTGGGCACTGTCCTCTTCAAAACGCTTTTGTTTCAGGCCTAACTGCATGCTAATCTTCTATTATCTTGAGTTTTTTTTTACTCTGCTCTCTCCACTAACTCTGTTACATTTGGGAGCCATGCTTGGGTTTGGCCTATTTATCCAGAACTCAGACTCTTGCCTCCCTCTGAACCATCTTTTCCTGCTTTCCTCTTCTTCTCAGTTGCTCACTGCAAGCACTCAGTAATGATGGGCCAGATTGACACTCTAGGCACTTCCACTTTGTTGCCATAACTTAGGCCACTTAACCACCAGTTAAGATCAACAGGATCAGGCACCTAGGATCACAATACAGTGAATGGGGAGAACAAGATCCAGTGCTGAGTCTGGAAGCACCTTGAGATAGCTGATAGGAACTGCGAGATTGTATTTGAACTTCTGCTCCTCTCAGGAGCTGGAGCCAAGACTCAAAGGTGCAAGGGAGGCATATCTTGTCATTTCAGGATCCAGATGGGACAGCAGTTCCATTCTGTCTCCCACTGAATAATAATGGCACTGACATAGCCCAGTATCCACAGGAGCACTCATCCAGGAAATGGGGAACCTGGGCTCTAGACCTGCCTCAGTCTGAGATTTGTACCCACCTCTCCAGCTTCCCTAACCAGGCTATTGCTTAGGCTGGGTTGCATGGAGAGGCTCTTGTGCTATATTTGGCCCCCAGAGAGTATCAAGTACAAGAATCATGAGAAGAAGGGAGAGTGAGCAAGACAGAATTCACTCTGTAGCCAGTGAGGAGGTGCCCTTGCGGGAATGGCATGTTCCAGTCCCACTGCCAAAGATTGGGTAACGTAAAATAAATTGATCAGGAAGCCAGTAAGAGAGACTGTGACTCTGCACCTCAGTGAGGAAAGCACACCCGTGTGAGGAACAGACCATGGACCCTATCCCTACCGACAGGATTGTTTATGCATTTTAAATTAGATTGTCATTAAATAAAAACTAAAATAAGGTTAGCGGTGGGAACCAGCAGCCACAGCACCCCAGTCCTAAGGTACTGCTTGCTTCACTGGGCACCAGAGTTATGCTTCTTGCTTGTTGTCCTTCTGGGCCCATGAGTCATGTTTTTAGCTGCCTAGTGGGCCAGCTTCCACCAAAGGGGAAGAAGTCCATACCTGATCTGCACATAGTTTAATGGTTACAGCACTCTCTTGGAAAATGAGAGGCAAATTTAGATGTCCTCAGGCTGACGTGGGCTCAGAATCCAGGTCTTGTATTTTGTAAGTGACTTCCCCACCCAGTAGGCTATTGGGCAAAAAAAATGGCCATGACCACTACTACTGTTGTGCGTGCAGCTCTAGACATTGGCTTTGTGGCAAATAGCTACTTGACATAGTCTGTTCTTACCCAAGGTATGAGAGATTGAACTAGTCAATCTAGATTGCTTCTGAGTTGATAGATACCCAAAAGAAAGTGCCTAAATAATTTTGCAGCTGTTGAGCAGGGTTGATTAGGATCCCCCATTATGACTTAGGTATCTAAATTCTGCCAAAGTCCTAATTAAAATACCTACAAGGTCATTCAAGATCTGGCCTCATGTTTATTGAGAAAACCATATCAAATAAAACATGTGTCACCTCCATGGGTGATGTTTCTCTTTTATTTATTTATTCCTTACATCCTTTCAGTTATTTCTTCCCACCTGATGTGAATGCTATCTACTATGTGTGCATTAGAAGGTTAGCTCTCCTCACTGCAGAAATCAGTAGGTTCTCCTTAGAGGCTCCTTCCTTAAGTTATTTTATACTACAGAATGATGGAGGCAGCAACATGCTCCATGCTCATTTTGTGCTTGAAGTGCTTAAAATGAATATTAGAAAAAACATAAAACCCTCATAATTTCCCATTTCACTTTTTCTTTGAAAGCTTGGAGAAAATTAACATAAGATAGAAGCTTATACCAAAGGTATTTGTCTAGAAGGGATTGGAGACCTGAGATTGTTAAACTGAATAAATTAAGCTACCATTGAAATTAATGGAAACTTTGTGGCTAAATCCTCATATTTCTTCTTGAGAGTCTTGGCCCAGATGTCTGTACGGGAATCACTCAAAAGTTCTACTGTAAACTCTCCCCTGACTCACGCCCCATGTAATGCTGTTGGCTTCAGTCAGATACCACAGATGAGGGAGGTCAGAAAATAATTTTCTCTCAACGTAGATGTGACTTGTTCTTCCAAGACAAGCCTGATGCTCTAACTAAGGAAAACAGCATTCTACATTATATTAGTCATAATCATTGTGCTTAGTATTTGATTAGCAATGAAAGTCAATATTTCAGTAACTGGTCTCCAGGGTCACGTATGATAAATAAACATTATGAAATCTAACTGGCCGGAATTGGTGACTGATAGATGACTATGAGCCTATAGTTGCCATGCAGTGGTGTTCTTCCTCTCTTTTTTCACTATGGAAACCAAGCAAATATGGGGCACAAGTGCTTCCTCTGTTGCCACATCTTCCATGGCCCCCAGTTTATGTGGAAGTGAAATGTCTTAGCCTGTGTTTTTGGTCCTTTGGCATTTTTTTACTACCTCAGTTATGCTCTCCTTAAATATCGGTATATAGCACATTCAATGTTGGCATGCTTTTGCAGCAAAGTACCAAATTAAAAGCAAAGTAGATAGAGCAGTGGGAATCATTTTCCATGATGTTAAAACCAAATGTGTTTTTGATTAAACTTTTCTGTTTTTTCAATTCTTAAATTCCTTAACAGACAGAAAGACTTTTTTTACTGTTCTCCTTATTCAAAGTTTTTTGGCTTCAGATATATAGATTGGAGTGGGAGGGAGGTTATTTTTTAGTTTTTATTTCAAAAAATATATTGTGAAATTAATCTTTTGATTCTGGCGGATATCCAACATATTTATTTTGCCAAACATAATTGGTTCTATGATTGTTAAGCATGTCTTTAAATATATTGCTCTCCAAGTAAATTCATGGTTGTGTTTCTTGACTTAATTCCAAAGCCTGGTATGTTGACAAGAACAGTTATATTCCTGGACAAAGCCCAGTGCTTTATTTTCCAGTTTAGTTTTAGTATGAGAGGCAAGTATAATGTATGTTATTGATTCTTGATGGGGTAAATGACAATCCATTTCAGCCCTATCAATTTTTATTTAATGATCTGTTGAGTGTTCCAGTGACACTTATGTGGAATAGTTCTTTCAGATTCTCCTTCAGCTTCATTGTTTAAAGTAAGGATCATTAGAATTCATGAAAGAATAACCAGGCTGTGCCTTCTCTTCAAGTACAAAAACCAAATGTGAGTAGCAAAGACATCCAGCTCCAAACTTCTTCATAGTTCAATGGACATGCTTCAGGGCTTTGGTCCAGTATAATATAAAATGATGGCCCAAATAAGAAATGAAAATGTAGATCTAGATTTTAATTTCCCTTAAGTTTGAATGAGGTTCAATTTGTGGTTTTAATTGGGCCAGTTTGTGGTGGTTCAGCCAGTCAGTATTTTTCCTTAGGGGCTTCATCGTGTGCTTTTGAATTGATGCTTCTATTTGAAAAATCTGTGCCACAGATGTGCTTAAAGAAAGTATTCAAAATGTGATTTGAGTGTTCTTGATGTAGCAACATCTGCCTGAGCCTACAAACAGCTGGGAACAATAGCCCTGAGAGCTGTGAATTGCTCCTACTCACAGCAATGAGGTGTTCATTCATTCAGTAGCTTAGTGATGATAGCTTAACATCAACCATTAGTCATCTACCTATATCAGAAGGTGGCATTTATCCTATGAAGTTGTGTACAATCTATGGTGAGTTGCAGCGCATAACGCAGGGATGTTCAGCATAGACATGCGTGCTACAAGTGGTGTGGGCAGCCTCTGTGTGGCATGCCACAGTCTGAGGAGAGGACAGGCAGCACAGCAGCAGATAGGCAGGAAGCAGATAGCAAAGCAGCAAATTGGATTAGGAGCCCAGGAAAGGAACCAGAAAGCAGAGCAGACAATCAGACAGAGGAAAGGAATTGGCGTGGTACTTGTGAAAGATACACAGCTAATTTGTGGCACACCTGGCAAAAAAGGTCCCCCCCACTGTCATAATGGATGGATAATTTTGGGGGTAGAATGGTAAGTTTCAATGCCCATTTTCTTCCTGGTTTTGATTCAGACCATTCTGAACTTTTTAATTTAGGCTACGGACAGACATTTAAAGAGCCAGAGCCTTAGCTGATTCAACCTTTGCAGGTTAGTCTGGCCTACATAGGCTGAACCAGTATGTAACAGGACAAACATTCTCTCTGGACTGAGGCAATGCAGACACATGTCTGCAGTTGCTTAGGCCAGAAGCTTTGGGGTCCTAGAGTGTGCCCTTGGCTGCAGGGAAGTTGTTGGCGGGGCAGGGCCACTCTGGGTTAAACTGACTGGGGGTGGGGGTTAATTTTCCCCTCTGTGTCCCACCAGTAAAGACCCGAGCTGGGTCTGCTGGGCACTACCCTCTTGCTGCCGCAGCAGTGGGACACTATGGCCCCTGAGGCAGAGGGAGGCAGAGAGGAGGGTTAATCTCCCCTCTAGCCCCACTGGGAGCTGGGTCTGCCCACCATCACCACTGTGTTCACTCCTTGTGGGGGAATAAGCTCCATGCTGTCCCCTCTGCTGGACGCTGGAGGGAGGGGGAATAACCCCCATCCCTGCCCCCCACCAAGGGGCCCTGCTGGCTGGCATCTGGCTGTGCCTCTGACCTGCCACTGCAGCAGGAAGGGGAAGGGCCTTTGACGGGGGCAGCAGACCTGTTATAATGTCATGGAGCATAAGCCTCTTCCTGGCAGGGGGCTGTGCTGTGAAGCGAGCAGAGCTGCAACAGTCTGCTCACGGCAGCACCAGCATCTGGGCCAGAGCCCTCCAAGCCCCCAACAGCACCACCATACTCTGCAGCGGCTCTGCGGGCCCTGCAGCATGGCCCCCTACCAGGAAGAGGCTCATGT